AGCTACGTGTGGGAGAGGCTAAGAAATTGGAAGAAGGGGAAGGGGAAAAAAAGGCAGAAAAAACCCCCCAAACACCCAGGGATAGAAAAAATAAGAGGAAGGAAAGTAGAGAGTGAGAGAGAACAAAGAAAAGGAGTAAGTCAGAGAAAGATGAAGGAAAATGTATGAAAGAGGAGGATGCTGAGAAGCACTGAGGGAGAGGGGTGCAGAGGACAAGGGGACCAAGATGTTCTCATCACTGATTCTGGCTGTCCTGTGCCAGGCAGATGCCTGCTGAGAGGGGGATTGCCTGTTTCCTGCCAGTTCTCTTTGCCCCTATGGGTGAAGTGCCAGCAACAGTCAAGTGGAGAAGTCTGGTTTTAATATTTGATCCAAGGAGTCGGGAGGAAGGGAGGGAGGGAAGTGCAACGACAGTAGTTCTCAGGGTCTTGTGGGTATCCAGGGAGCATCCAGGACAATGTGGGGGGAGGTGAAATCTAGGCAGAAAAAGAGCTGGCAGAAACCAGGCTGAGGGGAAAGAGGTTCCAGCCAACCGGGAAGAAGTTCAGGGCCAAGGCCTCTTCCAGAAGGAGCTGGAAGGGGAACAGAGTACGTGGGCTCTAGTTAGATGACCACTGTCCCTGGCATTCTGAGTGGTGTTGAATAGAATGCGGCGGGTCAGGGCTCCCACAGACACTGGCGGCAGGGGAGGGGGCAGCTACCCTGTCCCCAGGCACGCACTGCGCCACAGGTGTGGGAGCCACCTATGGTTCCTAGCCTCTGCCAGACTTTTGGGCTCAGTGCCTTGGCAAAATAGCTCTTGCAAGTGAACAGCCTTTAGAACCCAAAGATTGGCAGGCAGGGGACCAATATTTGAGATTTTTGTATTTTCTAAACTGGCAAGGTTTAATGAAGTTTCCTAACCATCATGAATGTTTGTTTGTTTTAGGGGTTGACAAGGCTGCCTCTCCTCCCTGAGCCAGACGGTGCTCTGAAGGATTCCCCTCAGTACAGCTGGCCTCTTACCGCGCCCCCCCCCCGGCCCCCGTTCCTCTGTGATCTGGGGCGGGCGAGTCCTCAGGTGGTGGGTGACAGTCGTCGGCCCGTGTTTGTTCGTTGGGCGCAGCGGTCTCCCACAGCTCCTCAGCGTGGGTGGGCGGCATTTGTTCTTGTTCTTCACTTTCCTTCTGGGCCAGCAAGAGGCTGCCGCCCGGGCGTGTGTTTGCTGATTCCACTTTCCCCTGAATGGAGGCTGACCTTGGACTGGGGTTACGAGGCCCATTGCAATGACCCTGAGCTAGCCTCCCTAACCCAGCTTTTCTCGGCAGCAAAGGTGGATTTTGGTTAGCTCTCTGCCACCTCTTCTGAGCAGAACTTGGGCGCTTGCTATTCTCGGTCCCCTGCAGGACCTGGAGAGCATTGGGCAGCCAGGCCTCTGGAGGCAAGGCGTGGCCTCCAGCAGAGGAAGATGTGCTGACCGGGTTTGTTACTCCTCCTGGGCTGACCGGGTTTGTTACTCCTCCTGGGCCCGCGGTGAGAGCCACCGACAGTGTCTTTTTGGCTTATTTGTGATGTACATGGACAAGTTTCTCCCAAACTCTTTACGGAGACATTTGTATCAAAAGAAAAACTAACAGGAACAGTAAACAAAAAGGGCCCTAAGGGGTTAGAGGATGTCACTCATATTCCCACAGTCCAAAACCACACATATCCTACAGAAAAGGAGACAGCCACCCTCAGCTTATCTTGCTCAAGAACGTCGGTCACCATCTGCTGTGCACTTTGCTCCCGCGGGAAGGACAACCTGTGCATTGCAGGTGCTGGGAGCTTCAGGCCCCATCTGATGCTTTTCTCTCTCTGTCCCTCCAGACACTGCTGGGTCAGATCAAACATGAACCTCTGCCCTTTAGTCTGAATGTCTGTACTTACAGCTGGTGATCCTAATGGTACAAGACAGTAATGGCTCATCATGCCTCAGCAGAGAGTAGTTCTACATAAGGACATTTTCTCTGAAATATTTAATTCAATTAACAATTTAATTCCTGAAATTCATAGTTTGTAGCCATTTTTAAAAAGAAAGCTTTCAGTAATACGTACTCATTACCTGCCTTAGTTAACAGAGTGGGCTGGAGCGTAACTTACTCTTCTGTTAATTTGGGATTGCTATTGGACACTCTCACATCGTACTCGGCCCATGGAAGAAACACAGCCTGTCTTTTCCCTGAATTCCACCAGATTACCTCCTAGGCAGCCATCTTTGTCCCTGCTTCTATTTTAATAGTTTAAGTTCAATAGTTTAATAGCTTAAGTTTAAGAGTTAAGTTTAATAGTTGTACTTCTGCACTGTTATCCTTTTAGTAGGCTCTCTGAAACCCCAGATAGTCATAGAAGGAGACTTTTTAGAGCTAGAAGGAAATGGGAGCCCCCAGTCTTTGATTATCGCGTAGGGAAGAGCTGCAGGTTGCTAAGGAAACCAGAGAATTCAGTATTGTTTGTAACACTAAGTCAAAATCGCTCTCTGTGCATCTGAAGGAATAAAGTATCACCACTTTGTCACAGTTGCCACTGTTGAGGTCAGATGTTTTTTAAACTAATTTACAGTTTATTTTCATGGTCACCGTTAATCTGGAGCCAGGTCCAAGGAGAACGCTACTGCACCCAGATTCGATGCCATCTACAGCAAGAGTCAGTGTCACAGGGTTTGGAACCATCTAAGTTCCCATTTAAAGTTCATGTGCCTCTTGAGTTGGTGTTGGACGCAGCCTTAGGTAACACTGGGCAGTTAGGAGGCATATGAAATTGTCCAAGCCAGAGCTTAGGGAATCATGATGAGAAGAGAGGAGCATCCAGATTTGCTAGATGTTCCACAGTGAGAATTGGTAGGAGTGGTGACTGGTTTCTGGGTGAAGTAGGGGGGTAGTCTCATATAAGCCAGCTCTCTAACTTGGGTGTGACACAAACCAAGATTTAGAGCACAAAGATAGGAGCTATTTAAAAAGTGTAGATAGCAGGTTTCTCTTTGTACATGTATTTGAGGGGACATGTGGGGAAATACAGGCATCCATGGCTTAACAAACATTCAGATTACAACTGTTCTGAAAGATGTTTATGGAATTGACCCACCTTTGAGGATCATGTTGTGGAAAGAGGTGGGAAATTGGTTCTCTTAGACCAGGTTCTTCCACTAACCAGCTATGTTACCTTAAGCAGTACATAACTTTTCCGGAACTTCCTTTTTTTTTTAAATTTTTTGCAGGGAAAGATTTGCTCTGAACTAACATCTGTTGCCAATCTTCCTCTTTTTTTTTTTTTTCCTTCCTAAAGCCCCCGTGCATGGTTGTATATCCTAGTTGTAAGTCCTTCTAGTTCTTCTGTGTGAGCTGCCACCACAGCATGGCAACTGACAGACGGGCGGTGTGGTTCTGCAACCGGGAAACGCCAAAGCGGTGAGAGCGCCGAACTTGAACTGCTAGGCCATGAGGACTAGCTCTGGAACTTCCATTTCTTTAAGTCTCTAAAATGAGAATATTTTCAAGGTCTGTTTTTAACTGTGACACCCATAGCCAGATGTGCTTTGATTCTCTCTGTCTCCTTTTCCAGGGTGGTATACTTGCGTGTTTTTTCAATCAATACGTTTGGGTATTGCTGCTGAGACGGCTATGTCAGTCAGTCTCACAGCTTCATCAGCTGAGTTAAGTAGAATCCTTGTCTCTGTGTCAGAGTACCGCTTGCCTGGTATGCTTTGAACCTAGTGCATTGAGTGATGGTTACTTTCTAAAATAGTTGCAGGACCTAAACTTCCAGTACTGTGCTAATTCATTTGCCAAACTATCTCTGGGATTCATTTGCTATTGTGCAACGTTAGGAAGGGTTTTTTTTTCTTTAAATTGTGGTGAAAAATCACATAACATAAAATTCACCATTTTAAAGTGTACAATTCAGTGGCTTTTAGTACATTCACAATGTTGTGTGGCTTTTAGTATATTCACAGTGTTGTGCAACCATCACCAATATCTAGTTCCAGAATATTTTCATCATCCCAAAAGGAAACCCTATACTCATTAAGCAGTCGCCTTCTGTTTGCCCTCTCCCACCCCTGGCAACCACTAATCTGCTTTCTGTCTCTATGGATTTGCCTATTCTGAACCTTTGATATAAATGGAGTTATATAATAGGTATCATTTTGTGTCTGGCTTCTTTCACTTAGCATAATTTTTTCATCTATGTTGTAGCGTGTATCAGTGCTTCATACCTTTTTAGGGCTGAATAATATTCCATCGTGTGGACATACCACATTTTGTTTATCTATGCATCCATCGATGGACATTTGAGTTGTTTCCACCTTTTGGCTATTGTGAATAGTGCTGTTATGAATATTAGTGTACAAGTTTTTATTTGAATACCTGTTTTCAATTCTTTTGGGTACCTTGGAATGGAATTTCTGGGTCATTTGGTAATTCTATGTTTAACTTTTTGAGAAACTGCCAAACTGTTTCCCACAGCAGCTGAGCCATTTTACATTCCCATGGGCAATGTGCGAGGGTTCTGGCTTCTCTGCACCCTCGCTAACACTTGTTATTTTCCATTTTTTGATTACAGCCATCCTAGCAGGTATGAAGTAATATCTTATTGTGGTTTGGGTTTGCATTTTCCCAATGACTAATGATGTTGGTTATCTTTCATGTACTTTTTGGCCATTTGCATGTTTGCCTATTACAATTTTTTGCCCATTTTTTCATTAGATTTTTTGTCTTTTTGTTGTTGAGTTGTAAGTGTTTTTTTTATATTCTGGATACTAGATCCTTATCAGGTATACGACTTGCATATATTTCTCTCATTCTGTGGATTGTCTTTTCACTTACTTAATGGTGTCCTTTGAGTACAAAAATTTTTAATTTTGATGACGTCCAACTTATCTATTTTTTCTTTTGTTCCTTGTGTTTTTGGTGCCATATCTAAGAAACCATTGCCACAGCCAAGGTTATCAATTTACCTCTATGTTTTCTTCTAAGAGTTTTATAGTTTTAGTTCTTACATTTAGGTCTTTGGTCTATTTTGAGTTAATTTTTATATATGATCTGAGGTAGGGGTTCAACTTCATACTTTTGCATGTGTATATCCAGTTGTCTTGGCAACACTTAGGAAGGTGTTTATACCTGTTGGTTTAATTCCACAGCAGCTAACCATATTAGCTGTGCTATGATTTCCATATATTGTGCCCATGTGTAGTGGACACTGTTCGTTGCCTACCAGTAGCCATTATTCCTTCTTTCTTCCTAGCAGAATCCTAGTTTTTTTAGGTATCTACTTCTCTCTCACATGATTCAGGGTAGAGCCATCCCACCCTGAGCTCCAGATCCTGCTAAGCATAAGCCTGCTATTGTCATAGTGTAGTCCCTCTGACCTTTTCAGGAGTTCCCTGAGATCAAAACTATCTTTGTATGAGCCCCCCTGATGGCCTAGTGGTTAAAGTTTGGCACTCTCACCGCTTCAGTGGCCTGGATTCGGTTCCTGGGCACAGAACCACGCCACCCGTCTGTCAGTAGCCATGCCGTGGGGGCAGCTCACATAGAAGAACTAGAAGGACTAACAACTAGAATATACAACCATGTACTGGGGCTTTGGGGAGGAAAAAAAAAACAAAAAAGAGGAAGATTGGCAACAGATGTTAGCTCAGGCGTATCTTTCCCAGCGAAAAAAAAAAGCCAAAAACACAACTATCTTCATAATAATACTAAGGCATTATTTGCCCTTTCCACTGTAGCTGACATTTGCACTGATGATGCAAAGCATTGGTTGGTAAAACTGCTGGCGCCTTAGCGCAAAGCAAGTCAGCGGCGTGTACCATACATACTGCAGCAGTGGCATTGTATTGTTGCATTCCACCATGCACTTGCAAGAAAAAAACCCAGCTAGTTTCACTTAATGTCCTTGATGAAGAAGTAAAACATTTTAATTCCATTAAATTTTGACCCTTGAATACACATATTTTTGAGCTATCTGTATGAAAAATATGGCAGGTATTTATAAATCCCTTCTCTGTGTATTAAAGCATCTTCTTGAGGGAAAGCACTTGTGTGATTGTTTGGGTTGTGAGCTAATTTAGCTTCTTTTTTACTTGAAAGAATGATTGACAAACTGTGGGTACTTACCCTTGAGTATTTGGTAGATGTTATGTCAAATTTGGACAAATGAGCAGCTTCGGGGAAAACAATGGACAGTATTTGTTACCAGTGATAAAGCTGAGCTTTTGAGCCAAATTAGAATTTTGGAAAATTTGTATCTGCTACTGTGAGCTTGACAGCTTCCAATATTTACTGACAGCTTCCCAATATTTAAAGACTTTTCTGACAAGATCAGTGGTGATATTAATTAATCTGATTATTTTGATACCGTATAATGAAATGTGTCAATATTTGGAAGATCAGCATAACTCAGTGAACTAATATTTTCCAAATGGCCAGTGTTTGACTTTACAAAATTGTGCAGAGATTAAAGATCCATTCAAGGTGCAAAACATACCAATGGATATTAATATACCAGAATATAAAAAGTTCATTGAAATGGTTTCAGATCCACATTATAACTAACCTTTAGGAAACTAATCTTGAGTTTGAGGGTAGTATCAAAGAAGAATATATACTACTATTTGAAAAGGCTATTAAAATATTTCTCCCTTTCCTAACTATATATCTGTACAAGACCAATTCTTTTCCATATACTTCAACAAAAACAACATTAAATAGTCCTCACTTTTAATTTTTACTACAATAAATATTGATAGATATAACCCACATAAACAGTGCAAAGGGGTCCTGACACCAAAAGTTTTGAGAACTGCTGGTTTAAGCTATAATGGTATCATTGAGTCAGTAATTTTACTATTATTGGAGGCTGCCCTAGCTCTATGTATCTTGTCTTGAGTGACATTAACTTTCTTCCTCATTAAGCCAAAGTAAGTAAAGGTTTATTATTGCTTACAACTTAAAGCATTCTAATAGATACACCATGGGACAAGTTTCAAATCAATGGACTATTGTTCTCTGATGAAATTGTATCTGATGCTAAAATATTTTCAGCTGTTTTTGTTTTGTATATTTCTCAAATGCATTTTCATCATGTTTTTCTGTGTCACAAGCAGCATAATCATTTAAGACTAAATAATTTAATTCTTGTTGCCTATCTTCTACAAAATACAGTGAGCTTAACACTACACTTGCTTCCTTCTAGCCAGCCCCTGCTTTTTTCAGCTTCTCCAAGATGTTAGCTTAATGTTGTTATCATTCTATTTGCAGTATCAAATTCTTCCAATTCCTGAGCCTATTCTGAGTATGGCAATAAAGATCTCATGAGCCTTAGCCTAGGACCCAGTGGGGTCTAGAAAGATATTTGCTGCTGTTGGGGCATGGTGGTGAGTTCTGGGCTTCAGGGAGCTCTTACTTTCCTTGCTGTTACATTCTCTGACCCTGTCTCCTTGTTAGTTTCCCTGCTTTGCCTTTCAGTTTCCTATGAATCCTACAGTGGACATCCAAGTTTTTTCCTGCTCAGTATCCATGTTGCTTCTTCTGGAAACAGCATTAACAGCATTCTGATTTTCCTTTGAGGAACGAAGTTTTCACTGAATACATTCATTTTTCTGGGGACTGTTGTTCAAGGTACTCCATCCATCACGTGCCAGAATGATCAGGCTCTCTCCTGCTTGGAAACTGAACCTTGGTTGAAGAGAAGAAAGGATAGAGAACTGTTGAAGTTGACACTGGGAAGAGATTTTCCTGTTGTCCTTATTACCTGAATCCTCAGAATCGTCCTAGTTCCTGTCCCTTCTGAGGGCTGGATGTTCAAGTTTTCCATAGATTTGTGAGCCACTTGCATTCTTAATAAATTATTTTTTGCTTAAGGGAGCTAGAGTCCTATTCTGTTGCTTTCAACCAAGAGCTCAGACAGAGATGTGGAAAGCTGCTCTGAGCCACCTCCTGCTTGGCCGAGACTCTGATGCTTTCCCTGCCTTGTGGGCCTGTTGTGTCTCTCACCCACAGACCAGGGACTTATGAATAACGTTGTTAGTGGACAATGGATGGAATTAATTAACCTGACTGCCAGCTACTTGCCTAGTTAAACATTCACCATCCTTCAATCAGATCCACTCATCAGATCATATCACCGTGGATAGGGATCCCCTCTCTGGGCCAAGGCTTCTCCCTCCGTGTCCATTCAGACAGTGTGTAAGTAATATCCTGGATGCCTCCTTGAGGACTAAGTACAGCCTGGTCCCGATTCTTTTCCCTCTCCACCAGTTCTGTGCTTATGAGTCCCAACATTCTTTAGACGCAAGATTTCAATGAACTTACAGTAGAGAAAGGACACATACATATTTTATATATATCTTCATCATGCATTGGAATGAGCATGGGACCAGGCAAAAGAACACCTGAATTCAAATCTCAACTTTACTACTTGCTATGTGGCCTTGGCAAATATTTAGTTTCTCTTGAGTCTCAATTTCCTCATTTGTGAAATGGGGGTTGTAATTATTCACGCTTACTTGCCTTTCAGAGAGGTTGCAAAGATCAAATCGGATGATGGATGTAATAGCAGCTAATTCCACCAGACTGAGTTTCTAAAGGATCAGGATCTATCTTTTACCTGCATTCCAAGTACAGGGCACAGCGCCTGGTTCACAGTAAATACTGGCAACATGTTGGTTGAGTTAATCCATTTTGGCTGGGAGCTGTTCCAAAGCTCAACTAGAATTGGGACTAAATTGGTGATGGGAAAAAAGGAAAAAAAAAAAGAGCAGATCCGGGAGCATGTGGCCTCATTATTCTGTCATCTTGTTCTTTGGCTCCTCTTTCAGGACGCTTTATACTGGGCTGAATTTTCACAAGGCTGAAAACCTGGGGTTTTTTCCTCCCCTAGTTGCCATTGAAACTGGAACTGCCTGAAAGAACAGCTGAGCAATTCATCAGGCCCTTGTGGCTTAGAAGGAGATGCGAGCCCACTCTAAATGAGATTTCTAATGACACACAGACTCCAGTGGGGATGTTACAATTTCATGGTCACACGTGACAAGCATTGTTCTAAGCTTGCATGAAAGTTTTTGCTAAACCCAGCTACCTCGAGCTTTGCATCAACCACTTGGGCAAACTGCCAGTCCCTCTGCCACATTCTTTCCAGACCAGAAAGGTTGTTGAGTATCCTTCACAGATTTTTCTAGGGTGAAACGACCTAGCAGATGTAGGTACACGCACCCTTGGAATGAAGCAACGGCCAATGGGATATTTTTTTGTGAATTAAAAATTTGTTTTTACTGAGGTAAAATTTATATGCAATAATACTCAGAGATCTTAAGTGTACAACTGGATAATTCTTTCAAATGTAATCACCCAAGTAGCCAACCCCCCAATCAAGATGTAGAACATTCCTGTCAGCCCAGAAAGTTGTCTTCTATCACCTTCTTTTCAATCCCTGCCCTAGCCAGTAGGCAGTGATTTTCCTGTCTTCCATTGCCATAGATTAGTTTTGCCTTTTCTAGAATGTCATATAAATGAAATCTACGGTATGTCCTTTTTTGGTCTACTTTTTTTTTCTGAATTCTTGTTTTTGAGATTTATCCTTGTTGTTGCATGTGTCTGTAGCTCATTATTTTTTAGTTGCTGACAAATATTTCTTTATGTAAATATACCACAATTTGTTTATCCATAATGTTTTTGAGATTTATTCTTGTTATTGTGTGTATCAGCCTTTCATTATTTTTTATTGCTGAGTAATATTCCATTATACAAATACACCATAATTTGTTTATCTCTTCTCCAATTGGGGGACATTTGGGTTGTTTCTAGTTTTTGGCTGTTATGAATAAAGCTGCTGTAAAGATTCTTATAGAAGTCTTTTTGTGGGAGTGTGTTTTACCTAGGAGTGCAATTATTGAATCACACAGTAGGTGTATGTTTAACTTCATAAGACACTGCCAGACCTTTTCCCAAAATGGTTGTACGATTTTACATTCTCACCAACAATGTGTGAAGTTCCAATTTTTCCATATTCTCACTTATACTTGCCTTTCATTTTAATCATTTTAGTGGGAGTAACATGTTGGTATCTTATAGGGTATCTTATAGGGATTTTAATGGAATTTTCTATATTTGCTACACACAATTCTAGGCAGGACAGATGAGAGCAATAAGAGGACTCTAGAAGCAGGTAGGGGTTCTTGTACTCCACATTCGCCTTCTCCCTTTCCTTCACCAAGTTCTGCTAATTTTCCTTCATAATCTCCCCAAATCTAATCCTTTTCCATTTTCAGAGTTATTGCTATAGTTAATGCTCTGAAAGTTTCTATTTGGGGTTGAATCCCTGAACCTAGGCCAAGCTCCAACTGCCTTTCCAGGAGAGAGGGGGTCCTTGAGGGCAAATGGTATCAAGAAAGGTATTTCCTTCTCACCTCCACCTCATCTCAGCCTTTTGGCCTCCTTCAGGATTATACTTTCACTGGAGTATGCAAATCAGAGCAGACATCATGGAACAGAAAGCTCTTTGGGTTTTGAAGATGATTCCCAGGAATCATGCAACTTAATCCAGTGATCATCAGAGCTTCACCAAGAGAATACAGTCAAGGATGACTTCAAGGTTTTTGTACTAAACTTAAGGATAGAACTACCATACGATCCAGCTATTGCACTGCTGGGTATTTATCCAAAGAACAGGAAAGCACCAATGCGTAAAGATACATGCACCCCTGTGTTCACTGCAGCATTATTCACAGTAGCCAAGACTTGGAAGCAACCTAAGTGCCCATCAAGGGACGAATGGATAAAGAAGATGTGGTATATACACACAATGGAATACTACTTAGCTATAAGAAACGGTGAAATCCAGCCATTTGTGACAACATGGATGGACATTGAGGGTATTATGCTAAGTGAAATAAGTCAGAGGGAGAAGGTCAAATACCGTATGATCTCACTCATTAAGTAGTAGATAAAAACAACAACAAACAAACACATAGAAACAGATTGGATTGGTGGTTACCAGAGGGGAAGTGGGGAGGGAGAAGGGTGAAAGGGATAGTTAGGCACATGTGTGTGGTGTTGGATTGTAATTAGTATTTGGGTGGTGAACATGAGAATATGATGTAATCTATGCAGAAATAGAAGTATAATGATGTATATCTGAAATTTATACAATGTTATAAACCAATGTTACCGCAATAAAAAAAAGGTTTTGATACTAAAAGATATCTCTCTGTAGAGATATCTTAGTCTAAGAGATATCTTAGACTTTCATCTTTAGAAAACCATTGGGGGGCCAGCCTGGTGGCGCGAGCAGTTAAGAGCACACGCTCTGCTGCCGTGGCCCAGGGTTCGCCGGTTCGGATCCCGGGCGCACAGCGACACACCGCTTGTCAGGCCATGCTGTGGCTGCGTCCCGTATAAAGTAGAGGAAGATGGGCATGGATGTTAGCCCAGGGCTAGTTTTCCTCAGCAAAAAAAGAGAAGGATTGGCAGATGTTAGCACAGGGCAGATCTTCCTTACACACACAAAAACAACCACTGGTATATGGGAGCTCTCCAGGGTACTGGACTTCTGCCTGAAATCATCTTTCACACCAAAGACTATTGTTCCATGCCCACATCTAACTGCATCAAAACTGTGTTTTGAACATTGTCCTCCTCATACCACCTTTTAATCCCAAACCAAGTTCTAAACCCAAACCTATGACTATCTTTAAGACATCCCCTCCTCAGCCACTACGTTAGGCCAAGCTACCATAGTCTTCCAACTTAGGGCTTCTCAAACTTTAGTACAAATGAATCATTTGGGGATCTTAGAATGCAGATTCTGATTCTAGATTTGGGGAGGGAGCCAGTAGTTTGCATTTCCAACAAGCTCCTGTGTCGATCTGATACTGCTGGTCTGCAGACCACACTGAGTAGCAAGGCTCTAACTAATTTTCACACTTCCACTTTGCCCCTCAACACTAGAATTATTGTTTTGAAAACATAAAAGCTTTCAGTGACTTCTAGTTATGATTAAAATTAAATCTAAACTCCTTATTGTGGCCAGAGAAACCCTGCTGCGTGGACTGGCATCTGTTTACCCTCCTTGCTGCGTTAGGCACATCCTTCCCCTCATTCTCTACACTTTAGTTACACTGGACTTTGACTGCACTTACAGAGCACCACATTCTTCGCAAAGCCAGGGCTTTGTGCATGCCATTTCCTCTCCTTGGAACCCCTTCTTTTCTGTAGGACTGTGTCTTTCTAATTCTTTAGGGCTCAGCTTAAATGTTCCCATCTGAGAAATACCCAACTAGAAGGTAAGCTCCATGGTGATAGAAACATGTCTATTTTATTCACTGTTGTAGTCCCAGAATACAGTCCACACTCAATAAATATTTGAGTGAATAAGTATAAACACCAAAAGCTCTACCTGTACTGGTCTTGGGTTCAAGTTTTTCACCAGTTTCAAATAGATAACTTGGTTTTCTGGCTGGTACTCCAATCATTGATTATTGCACCCCTGAACAATTGCCTATAGCTTTCTAACTGCTTTATCTTTAGGATTTCCACTTGTTAATTCATCTTATTCTCCATCATCAGTTAATGAACCCAAAGCACCTAAATATGTCTACCTCCTAATGCCCAGAACTTGTTAATATGGTACCTTATAAGACAAAGGAGACATTGCAGATGTGATTAAGTTAAGGATCTTGAGATGAGAAGATTTTCCTGGGTTATCTAGAATCAGAGTCAAAGAAAGGTAATGACAGAAGCAGAGGTCAGAAAGAGAGAAAGGCAGAGAGATTTGAAGTTGCTGTGCTGTGGTTTTTGAAGATGGAGGAAGGGGTCATGAGCCAAGAAACACAGATGGCCTTTAGAAGCTTGAGAAGCCAAGGAAACGGATTATTCTCTAGAGCCTCTAGAAGGAACCCAGTCCTGCTGACCCATTTTAGACTTCTTATCTCAAGAACTGTAAGATAATAAATTTGTGTTGTTTTAAGCCACTAAATTTGTGGTAATTTGTTACCTCAGCAACAGCAAACTAATGCAGTTAGTAACATAGAGAACATTCCAGAAGCCAAATTCCTATATACTAGCCAAGGGTCAGCTCTGTAAGCACGTCCTTCTAAAGAGCAACATCAGGCCTACAAAGTTAACTCTTTCCTGTACAAGCCTATAGCCCGCCAATTACCAAACACATGAGAGGGATCAGCAGAGTTGCCTCCCCAGCCAACAGCAGGCTGCAGAAGAATTAGTGAGCCTAGCCAAGATAAAAAGGACATCTCAGCAATATTATTATTGTGGGCAATAATAAATGCTTACTGGTTTAAGCCACTGAGTTTTATGGTGGTTTGTTATGTAGCAATAGCTAACTAACTCACATGGAATTCAAGGCCTTTGAATAGGAACTCATGAGCCCAACCCATACACCCCATCTTATCTCTTCTTCAGAAACAAGAGATATTTATACTGGTCTGTTTCACGTCATCCAAACAATCCTTGTTCCTTCCTCTCACTGTACTTTCTTCCATGTCATCTTCGTATTTGGAATGTCTTTTCCACCCACATCTTTGCCTACTATTTCAGAATGTAATTGACAGACATTTGGCATGAACTTTTGTAAGTATCTGAGCTTCCAAGTCTAGTCAACTGATGTCATTTGGAATTTGGTTAGGATCATGTAGTGTGTTACTAGTATTAAAAAGGCTTTTAAGTCATTGCCATCTGTAAGCTCTCAAAAGCACAAATAGAAAACACTTTTCCCTTTGATGAGAAAGTAGACTTGGTGAGAGAGCTGCCAAAGTTATTTTTTTCTATTAGTGAGGGGGAGGTTTGTTGACCCTTTGAGCACTCATGGAACTCTTGTTTCTTCAGTCCCATAGCGGAACTGTCCAGTATTCTCATTGGCACTTTGATTATTACTGTATTTATAAATGCTGAGAGCTTACCTGGCCCCAAGTTAGGCAGCTTATTGTAGTATGTCATTGCCGTCTGAGAGTTAGAACTAGCTACAGAGTCCTAAAACCAGCCAGCGTTCTGCAGCAAGAGCTGCAAATCTTGTTGACAATCCCAAAATGGCGAGTCGGCAAATGCTTGTATTGGGTTGTAAAAAAGAAAGACAGCAACCAATACTTTTGGAGTGCTTACTCTGTGCTGAGCCTTGTGCTCAGTCATGGGGATACAGAGGGAATAAAACGGAAATAGTCCTTAACCTCATGGAATTTATAATATAGTGTAAAAACAATCAGAAGGTCAGAAGTAGGGGCCGGCCTGGTGGCGCAAGCGGTTAAGTGTGTGCGCTCCGCTGTAGCCGCCCGGGGCTCGCCGGTTCGGATCCCGGGTGCGCACCGACGCACCACTTGGCAAGCCATGCTGTGGCGGCGTCCCATATAAAGTGGAGGAAGATGGGCATGGATGTTAGCCCAGGGCCAGTCTTCCTCAGCCAAAAAAAAAAAGAGGAGGATTGGCAGATGTTAGCACAGGGCTGATCTCCTCACAAAAAAATAAAAAAAAAAAAAGAAGGTCAGAAGTAAATAATTTCCTTAGATCAGCAATGAGATGTAAAGGCATTTGAAAATGAAAAAAAATCTGACAATCATGATGTTATCCCAAGAATATCCCGATACCCTTTGCATAACATAACCTTTACATTTCTAATTTTGGTGCCAATATTCCATAACAATCCCATACTCAACAAATATTTATTGAGTGCCAACTATATCCTAGGCACTCTGTTTGACTCCCAGGAAAACATAGAAAAGACCAACATAACCCTAGCTTTTGTGAATCGTATGTTCTATCTAAACATTAACAGCAACTAGGACAAAATATCTGGGCCACAAACGTGTGGTTCATATTACATTATTTGTATGCTTTACATTATTGAAATTTGTATATTTTGTTAAATCATCAAACACATTCCTAAAAGTTCTTTTCTGTCCAAACTCTTAGATATAGAGACATGTAGATTAATTGGATGGTCAGAGTTCGATGACAAATGAACTGCAAGAATGAAAGGGCTGACTCTCGGCCTTCTGAGAATGTTTTCAATGGAGTCCCCAAGTATCTCCCTGTTTGTATGGTGAATGTCATGAAAAGAGCACTGGACTTGAAATCAAGACTTCCAGTTTCCACTTTGCCGTGAAACACAGCTGTGTGATTTTGGGCAAATCACCTCACCTTTTGTCTCCTATCAAAACAGGAATTTGGGGGCCGGACTGGTGGCATATTGGTTAAGTTTGTAAGCTCCACTGTGGGTGGCCTGGGGTTCGCAGTTTCGGATCCCAGATGCAGACCTATGCACCACTCATCAAGCCATGCTGTGGCAGTGTCCCACATACAAAATAGAGGAAGATTGGCGCAGATGTGAGCTCAGGGACAACCTTCCTCAGGAAGAAAAAAAAAGAGGAAGATTGGCAACAGATGTTAGCTCAGGGCCAATCTTCCTCACCTTAAAAAAACAAAAACAAAAAACTATTAAAAAAAAACCAAACAAACAGGAATTTTGGCTCTGCTCAGCTCCAAAGACCTGTAACTCTCTGATCTATTTTTCACATATAGTTGTTATTTACATTCGTCTGTGACTTCTGGAAGTTTAAATTTGGTAGAAAGAACCAGCTATTTAGAGACAGAACTGTCCTATAAGACCATCATCATGTGTTACTACCATTGATTTCAACAGCAAGAACTTGAAGTAGCAAAGAGCATTTGCTCATCCAAGAAGACTTCTTTGTATTTAGACAAACAGGATTTGGGGAACTAGCTATGTAGGATCAGTGATTGTGAAAGCTTGTTTTAGCAACTGTTTCAGAAAGAACACTTGGCTTCAATTCCAGTATGTTAGTCCTGGCATGGGGACCAGAACAGAGAGGAGTGGAGCTGGGGCGTGTGTGGCTTTTGTAATTCTGCCCACCCACAGACCCATGGACTGAAAATGACGCATGGATTTGCCTTTTTTTTTTTTTTTTTTTGTGAGGAAGATCAGCCCTGAACTAACACCTGTTGCCAATGCTCCTCTTTTTGCTGAGGAAGACTGGCCCTGGGCTAACATCTGTGCCCATCTTCTTCTACTTTATATGTGGAACGCCTGCCACAGCATGGCATGATAAGCAGTGCATTGGTGCGTGCCCGAGTTCCAAACTCCAGGCCGCCACAGTGGAGCGCACGCACTTAACCGCTACGCCACCGGGCCGGCCCCTGGATTTGCCTTTTAATTGTTTTTCTGCTGCAGAGCATGAATGGTTTCTGCCTTAGCAGCCAGGGAAACTGGGGATTCAGGCTTTGCAACTCAGTCACCTTGAAAGCCACCAGGGGCAGGTTAGGGAGATTTCTTAGCTTGAAGATGTAAAGAAGAATCAAACAAAATGAAAAATACAATAATATTATTAAAATCCTCTGAACAAATATTGATGCTTAAAGAATTTCCAGGTACTTGTTGGAGGGGAGCCCATAGATTGCTTCTCACTAAGGAATCTTGCACACGAAATCCCTGATGGCACCAAACTGGTGGCTCCCTCCTCAAACCCTGGGTGAAGAATGATGACATGGGCAAATAAATGTTCATGAGGCTATCTAGGGCATCAGTATTTATGGAGAACCATTAATGTGTAAAAAAAAGAGGGCACAGGTGGTAGAGTGCACACTACAAGCTCCTATCTGGCTGCAAAGGAATTTTTGCACCTCATTGAATAGCGTCTTCCCAGATACTCATTCTCCCCGCTCCTACTCCTAACATGGCCTCATTATTTAGAGAGTCAACTTCTTGTTTATACAAAAGATATGTTGGTCATCTGTGGTTGAATATCTCTTCCTTACATCTTCCAAGTGTGACATCTCCTATACCCCGGTAGATTCTGGAGTCTTCTCCTGGTATCTGTTATGGCTGCTCAGGAGATGGGAGCACTTTTTAGTATTAGCCTGAGTAAAACATAATGTGAAGGAGAGTCTGTTCTGTGCAAAGAAGCCTTTTAGACACACAGGACAACAAAGTTGTGAGAAGGGTGTCTAGAATGAGGGACCTGGGTGTGCAGGCCAGCTCCGCCCCCTGCAGGCTGGGTGAGGCTGGCCAATTACTTAACCTCGCAGCCCGTTTTTTCCATCTCTAGGGTGGAAACTCTAGAGTAATGCTCCTTACATCCTAGGGTTGTTATTAGGATTAAATGAGCTAATGATTATGAAGTTCTTGGCACAGCCTCAGGCATACGGAGGCCTTGATACACTCTACCAGTGTATCCATCAGGGCCCCGGCAGGAGCCAGACAGCACATTCAAACTGGGTAATCTGAGGAGGGTTTAATAAAGGGTCTACAAAGGTGTGGGCAGAGTTTAAGGGTTAAGGACAAGGGATATTGCAGCACTGTGGGGCCACTGACAGTATAACCACTGAAGGGGTTAGGGGAGCGAGTGGTTCACACAACCCAGAAAGAGGCTGCATGGAGCACCTCCCGACCTCCCCAGGAGCTGTAGCCCTCTTAGAAGAGTCTGGCTGGTCCACGTGTTCTAGAGGGAGGGCGCGTCATACCCTGGAGACTAAATGCTCCTCCTTCACTCTCCTCCTTCCTCCTTCCCTCAATTCCTGCCAGTACCTCCTTTTGGGCTGAACCCAACTTGAAGGGAATCTATTTTTACAGTCTACATGGGTCAGCCTCCCAGGGCTCAGAGTAGGATGGAGAGGCAAGCAGAAAGCACCCGGTAGGGCTAGTATTAAAATCTCACCTGTTACAAGTAGCTGAGGAGACAACTAGTCAATCTAAGTTAGAGAGACATCTGAACTACCAACCAGCCAAGGAAGACACAGCATGGGAAACAGGAGAGTTCCCTGGTGGCTCACCTCAGTAAATAAATAAGAAACCACTTCTAATTAGTACCTCCATCATAAGTAAACAGTACTTCTAACCCAAATGAGAGTTTGAAAACAATTTGTTCTCTTTAGTAATGTATACATTCTCTTTTATATTGTTTATTCAGCAAACACGAAGATAATACAGTAGAAAAGTTACTCAGTGCTCTTCTGAATTCATCATAATTTCTGATCCAGTTGAGCCCCAATGAATAAAAATTCTATTCTGACACATTTCAAAGATCCAATCAAATGATTCTGAGATATTCAAATTTGGAATTTGTATTAATTTGTTAGAGCTGCCCTAACAAAGTATTACAAACTGAGTGACTTACAGAAATTTATTGTCTCATGGTTCTGGAGGCTAGAAGTCTGAGGTCAAGATGTCTGCAGGGCCATGCTCCCTCTGAAGGCGCTGGGAAAGGATCTGCACCAGATCTCTCTCCTTGCTTCTGCTAGTTCCTTGGCTTGTGGCATCATAACTCCAATCTTCCCTTGGTGTTCTCCATGTGTGCATATTTGTCTCTGCGTCAAATTTCCCCTTTTTATAAGAATGCTAGTCATATTGGATCAGGGCCTACCCTAAGGACCTCATTTTAGCTTGATTACCTCTGTAAAGACCCTATATCCAAATAAAGTTAAATTCTGAGCTATTGAGAGTTAGGACCCCAACATATCTTTTTCGAGGAGGACACAATTCAACTCATAGCAGAATTCTTTGGGCCACTGTTTCCTCTTCAGGAAGATAATGAGAGCTGGCTGTGGACTCATCTCTGTGACCCGCTTTCATTAAGCTATAGAAGCATCTACCTACATGGGATGATAGGCTTTAGCTGGGGGCTAGTGTCAGGAAACATTGGGCCCCAAGTGGGATGACTCCATGATAGTCTTTAAGAAACAAAGAATAAGGGCAAAGTTAATATAAATAAACCAGATTAAAGGAAATAGAGAGTTGCATGTGAGAAATCAAAGCCCTCAAATGAAACTGAACCTCTTATCTCAAATTCTTGTGCCTAATGTACAATAAGCCAGTCGTTGAGACACTGATGCTTGGAGATGGAGAAAGGTTTATTTGGACTGGCCAAAATGAGAAGGAGGGAGGATAGGTTCTCTCAAATCCACCTTCAAAGAGAAGAAAGCAGGGGGTTTTATAGAGCTAAGGGGCTTGGGAGGAGGAGTTTCAGAGAAACAAAGGGGAAATCTGTGTTTCTTTCACTCCAGATAAGCCCCTGGACAATCAGACTTCTGGGCATCAAAGGCTGCTGGGGGCTGGTTATCTGGTGATCATAAGTAGTTCTTAAAGGCATTCTTTTCCTTCTGCAAAACAAGCTCATAAACCCTTGTGACCCTTGAATCACCCCACAGGTTAGACAAGAAAACAGCAAATTAACAGGATTAACTTCTTTTTATCTACCTCTGTGTGGAAACAAGGTCAAGGGTAATCACGTTCTTAGTGAATATTTACAGTAACCTTCAGGTACCTGACTTCACAAACAAAGCACCCGATGTTACAGTAGCAGCAGGACGAATGTCCCTCTTGGGAACTTTTGGAGGCAGCCTTTGCCCAGAGCAGCCTTCAGCACCCCCAAGAGAGCTTCTGGGAGTCCACAACAGGTCTCATGCCAAGCTAGACACTACCTGAAACAGCTTAGACTGTTTCAAGTCCAAAACAACTTGAACATGGTTAGCCAGTAACTTTCTAACCAACCTCTTTCCACTATAATCCTTGGTCAATGATAAAAGGCAACCCTCTCCCTGGCCCCCTTTTTCCTCCTCCCCTTCCCTCATCCCCAGTGTCTCCTACCCTTTCTCGTATGTTTATTCCTTTACTGTTAAGCATCCCACTGAATGTTAACATTTTCCAGGATTTTGTCATTGACCCATCTACTTTTCTCCCTTTGCACACTCCAAAAATAACCTTATTCAGTGTCATGGTTACAACCACAGTCTATGTCCAATTTCTCTGTCCTCCAAGTCTGTGCCAGACAGAGCTTTGCATTTTCTCTATTAGACAACTTGCAACAGTGAATGTTTTTGTCTCCTCCACTAACCCATGTCTTGTTCGTCATTGTATTTCCTGGTTCCTCAGAGAAATTGGCATGTGATTGTCACTTAATAAATATTTGCTGAATTGTACAGGACAGAATGACTTTAAAATATTTATCTTGACGTCCCTCCTGAGCTTCAGACAGCTACTTACATCTGCCATCTCGTTCCATAGGTGCTCATGTATCCCAAACTGAACAAACCTCAGTCTGGTTTACCTATCTCTGGATGGCCCAACCATTGCCCTAATCTCCCACACAGGAAGCCTGAGAATCCATTCTTTACTCCTCTCTCTCTCACTCTCCATATCTAGTCAATCATAAGGCCCTTCCTAATCTATTTTCTAAATATCTCTCAAATCCATTCTCTGTCTAGTCCACTCCCTCACTGGAATATAAACTCTATGTGGTCAGGAATCTTTATCTGTTTTGTTCACTGCAGTATCTCCAGTGCCTGGAATAGAGCCAGGCACATAATAGGTGCTCAAAAACATTTGTTGAATGAGTAAATGCTGCTAACTCCTAGATCAGAGCACACACCATCTATATCAGTTATCTGTGCTGTGTAACAAAACTCCCCAAAACTTAGTGGCTTTAAACAACACTAATTTATTATTTCTGATTGGTGATTCTTGAGCTGGCCTTGCCTGGGCTCACTTATATAGTTGTAGTCAGAGAGTTGCTGGAATAACTATCCGACTGGGGTGCCTCAGTTCTCCACATGGCCTCTCATCATCTAGTAGACTAGATAGACTTCTTCGCAGCATGGTGGTCTCAGAGTTCCAAGAGGAAGAACGTGGAAGCTGCATGGTCTCTTAAGCCCTAGCCTTGGAAGTCACATAAGGTCACATGTGTCGCATTCTACTGATAAAATCATGTCACAAGGCTAGGGCATATTCAAAGGTGTGAGGAAATAGACTCAACCTCTTGATAGGAGGAGTGGCAATGTCACATTGCGAAAGAGTGAACACAAGAAGGCATGGTTCATTGAAAGCCATTATGATAACAATCGACCACACCATCTCTCTCCCAGTGTCCTGCAGTGGCCTCTAACTGCCTGAGGTTGTGCACACTTCAAATCTATTTTCTACATAGCTTCCAGGATGATCTTCCTGCAGGACAAACCTGATCTTGCTGTGATCTTCTTTCATTTTTTCCTGAAAGATGGAAGCTGCCAAAAAGATATCCTTTGAATAGCAAACGATTAGCTATAATTACAGCTCCATCTACCTTTCACTGACAGTATTTTGGTGCAGTGCGGAAGGAAATCCATAGACATGTGCTTCCACCAACCGGCTCAGGCGATGGCCTGCAAGGATACCTGAACGCTTTGTGGGCAACACAGAGACACCCCCTGCTGAGCATGGCGCGAGCAGCCTGCAGTGTCTTTTGCAACATGGAAGTCTCCCCGTTTTGACTGAACTGAAATCTTACAAAAGAGGGAGCGGCAAAGAGAAAAACTAAACAGAAGGAAGATCCAGAAACACATGACAGGTGGTTTGGAAAAGGCAAAACCTGTGGGAAGAGGAGGCGATAAGGGGAACGAAACCAACATCTTTTCTCATTCCTGCTTCAGTTCTCTTTCAGTAACTATGACTTAAACTATGAAGCTGAAATGATGGACAATGCGCACTTTCTTTATCTTTTTGTTGTTTGTTAATTTCAAATATGAATTTTAAGTGTTTGACAGATATGGCAGGAAACTCAAATGCTCTTGCTAACAAGCTTCATAGAGCTAATTTGCCATCATTAGCATCTTGGGGAAATGCTTCTGGAGCATCCACCAAATGCTCCTGGGGAGTGTTTCCTGGTTTTGTTTCTGCACAAGCTGTGTCCTCAGAACATCCGGCAGCAATGATGGAGAATCCCGAGGTGAAAGGAATGCAGTGATGGCCTAAGATAAACAAAATGCATCTCTGCTTATTCTGTTGGCCTCGTGCATGGTGAGAGACTGTGGGATTAAGGTGGGATGGCAGATGGATCTGGGTTACAGGGAAAGGTTGTAGGAGAGAGGGGGCAGAAGGGGGTCAGCTCAACATGCACCTCCTCCTGCCTTCATTCATAGGCCCCAGCACCAGGGGGACACTTGGAGGTTCTTATCACTCGGAACGGAACAACAGAGTGGGAGGGTGTTGGCAGCTGAAGTAAAGAATTAGTTGTGGATCTAGGACAATGGGAAACCAGAAAAGAGGATGTGCACTGGGGACAATCAGGATGGGGCACCAGGAGTGTCACATGTTTGAAACCTGGCTGCTTCCTTATCTTACCTAGTAGGGTGGTGAGAGGTAGAATGCCCATGTGGTGGCCACCAAGACAGATAACCCTGGGGCTGCAGGAGTCTGGGAACTTGGTAGCTGGAGACACTAGAAGACAACAGACATCCAGGCTAGAAGGAATGGTACTGGAGTAGGGGGCCCAGACACACCTACCAGCTGACTGCCTTCACCCCTTCCTACAACTTAATCCTGAGATAGAATTTTCTGAAGCAGGGGTGCCAGTTCCTACCCATGGAGCAAAGTTTCCTAATGTAACAAAGGTCTCTTGCCCTACAGGTTGGTACAATGATTCCCCCTATATCAGTGATTTGGGGGCAGGACTGACCCTCCTCCATCTAGAGGTAGACCCTAGAGCTGTAGCTCCTCTCTCTGCGTTTTCATAGCAGGCCTCTCAAATGTATCTCTTTAACAGCACTTTCCATATAGCCTTGCTATTATTTGTTTACACATCTCTGTCTCTGTCATTTTGGGGTCTCAGAACTTGTATAGTGCCTGATATAGGATAAATGTTTGCTGAATGAATCAATGAAAGAATGTTACCTGAGGAAATATCTACAATCCCAGCTTATATTCATATAGACCTGCAAGTGGGTAAAGGAGGCTAAACTCTTCAAGTTACATACGGGGCATCAAAAGATGTTACTTAATTCCCTTACTTTGGAAATTAGAAAAATATATGTTCGAATATTAAAAAAAAAAAAAAAAGAAAAGATAAATGGCTTCTTCAATCCTCTGCAGTTATTGGTTCCGATGGCTACTATGACTATGATTTTACATGAGGAACCTGCGGCTCAGGGTGGTTGAGTGACTTGCTTAAGGTAACACAGCTAGTAAGCAGTAGAGGTAGGTCCTGTACTGAGACTCTCTGCCTCCAAGTCTCTTTCCACTAGACCACTCTGCTTCCTTCTGACCCTTCACGTAAAGGTTGATGGATCCATTCATTCATCTGCTAGTCTCCCAGCCCGGATTGGGCAATGTTCTAGGCATTACAGATAAAAAGATACATAGAGTTCATACTCTGGTAGCACAGAAAGAAGAGTGATTCATCCCGCTTGGTGGGTCAGAGAAGGCTTTACAGAGTAGTGGCATCTGAGCTAGGCCTGCTCTCCTGATTAAGCCGATAAATTCTCTTTTTGACTTAAGCTAGCATGAGCTATGATACGGTAACTTACAACTAAGAAGTTCCTTGTGTATGCTGTGTGGATGCACCGGAATTTATTAACCAATCTCCTATTGTTGGACATTTAGGCTGTTTCTAAAATTTCAGTATGATTAACAAGATTATGATGAACTGTTTTGCATATACATGTTTGTGCACATGTCCTGTGGGGCCAGAGTTTATGTCTTTGATTGCTGTTACCTTATTGCCTTCCAGAAAGATTTATCAATTACTCTTCAACCATAATGCAAAAGAATGTCAATTTCTCCCCAGCGACCTGCTGGGGACCTCCTAATTGCAAGGCTCTGTATTAGGATCAAGATAATATGCATAAAAATACTTTACAAATAGTTATTAAATTTTAATTCATTATAAAACAGAGCTTTCCCCTTAAGAAGGGAAACTATCATTTATTGAGTGCTTCCTATGTGCCAGATGTTGCACTAAGAACTTTATAAGTGTTATGCTTTTTAAACTTCACAACAACTCTTTGAGAAAGGGACTATTATTATCCCCATTTTACAGATGAGAAAACAGGCTCGTAGAATTGAAGTAATTTATCCAAGGTCAAATGCAAAGCCAGCATGGAAACCCAGGTCAGTCTGACTTCAGATCCTCATTTTTCTCATTACTTATGTAAGTCGACATGGGGAAGGATGAAAGAGCGGGGGTGCCAGACATCTGCAAAGTTAACAATACAACCAGGTAAAGTGGGACAATAGGCAAGCTGAACAGATGGATATACAAGGTACATGTGCGCCCTTTCTAGGATCACTCAGCCTCTGCACTAGGACAGCAGTCGAAGAAATAAGCAGCCTGGGAAATAGTGGTTTCCCAAGATCTTTTCCCCTCAATTTTCTTTCCACCTCTAGGCACACCCTGACTCATCCTGAGCATCCGTCCCTCACTAAATACAGGGCTGGAGAGGGTCCAGAACTTCTTTTATCTCATCCCCATCAAAATTCCCTAGTTCATAAAAAAAACTTAAAAGATATTAACGTTCCTACTTTATTCTTAATAGTAGCTAATTATTATACAGCTATTAGCCTAATAAAGATCAGTTTTTCCTCTCTTCTCTCCTTGTATTTTTACTCGAATCAAAAAGCCTCACTTAATTATAAAGTAACTCATTTTTATGCTGCTAAAAAATGAAAATGTGAGTCAAATACATTTCTCTCCTTCTAGCACTTATTAGGATACTTTGAAAACTGCTCACAAGTCTTTAGAGACAACCAGCTGGCTTCCATTCTCCTCCCAGACTGGGGCTCAGGTGCCCAAGTCCCAAGCGATGGCTGTCCATTAACACAAGATCAGCCTTATCGGGCTGTGGACAGACCTGCCACCCTCCCAGGTCACCCCTGTGGGACAAAGTGGGGTGAGCTGGCTGGACACTGCCAAGGCGATGTGAGACCTTGTAGCTGCCTGGTAAAGGGATACAGGGACTCTGCAGGGACATTTATGGCCTTAGGCCAGCTTCTACATCTCAGTTTCCTCATCTGCAAAGATGGTGGTAAATGACATCCTCAGGGCCTTTGTGGGATTAGATGGGAAAATGTGCATTAAACTCTTAGCCCTGTAAGAAAACTCCTAGCACTGTACCTGGCACAGAGAGTGTTCAGAACATAGCCATAACGAGTGGCTTCACACTGGGAACAGGAGGAGAAAAGATGTCCATTGCGACCCCGGTCCTAAAACACTCAAACGGCTCTGTCTCTCCATTCCCTTGGCTCTGTACTCCTCTGACCTTTGGGGAGAGGAAAGCAACAGTGAGGGCGGCCACAGCACCTCTCTCAGCAGTCCCAATGCAGTCATTATAGATTTGACCACTGTCTCCTAGTGGTACTCTATCTCCGTATCAGCTGTTGCCTCTGTTCCTGCCTGTCTTGTGCATATTCCTGTAGAGCAAATGCAGGGGCACTTAGTTCTCATCTCACCTCGCCTCCTGCATGGTTATTGCTTGAAGAACACTTGAAGCTGCAGGATTTAAGAAAAAGAATGAAAGTGATGGATTCATATCCATTTGCACATAAAAAGCATCTGCTTTCATCAAAGCAAAAGATAAAAGAACATTCCCAATCTGCTTCAAATCATTTGAAGTTACATTCTTATAACAATAGTAAAGTCAACAAAAGATTTGCTTATAATTCACTATCATGCTCTTCTCTCTTTTAAATCAGCATTTCTCAAAATATACTCCATGGAATACCTCTTCTGAAGAATGTTAGGAGTTAACACAACATTAAAAAGAATCCCTAGCTAGTAAAATATGAGAAAAGATGGGCTAAACAAAATTTAAATGGAAGGACCTCTCAGAGCCTTGAAATGAAACTGTACACTGTGAATCTCTAAGGGGGGTTATGTGTGCAATATTTTTCAAATTGGATTTCCAGCTCTTTTTGTGGGAAACATCTCATAGGACTCATGTTCTTCTAAATCTACTTTGGAAAACAGATATAAACCCCAGGGAGATGAAACCACATTTACTGATTGTTCTATAAAATCAAAAGTGGAAGTGAGGCTGAGAATGACATACTTGGGGACAGCCAGAGAATCTGTCCTTCTGTTGCCAGATGACAGGAATTTAAGAGAGAGGGGAGGACAGTGGTTAGTGATGGGCCAGCCAGTCAAATTGGGGCAGCAAGTTTTGAGGACAAAGCAGCACATGTGTAGAGAGCTTTTCTGCCTTGGATGCGTGTCATGGAAGGGAAAAGAAAGTGAGCCCTAAAGAGAGTATATGCCACATAGACATGGGATGGGGGAGGGGGCAGATGGGCATGGCACGGGGGTGTGTATGTGTGTGTGGGGGGGTACATTCCTTTCTTTGGCTTTTTGGAAATATCATAGAACTATGCAAAGAAATTAAGCCAGTGCCATAAATTATGAAACAAAAGGCCCAATTATGTATTTCTGCAATAGTAT